AAATGAGTATTGGTAAAGGGAAATGTGTTTGGTATCTACATGACTGAGACCTAAACCCGAAAGCTCTGTAACTTTTCCCACAGTGATTCAATAAATAAATAAATTATAAAAAAAAAAAAAAGTCTCTCTCTCTCTCTCTTTCTCTCTCCCCCTCCCCTCTTCCCCCACTCCTCCTCATATTTTCCTACATGAAACTATTTTACTTCAATATTCATCTCCTCTAGAAATTCTTTTCTTGCCAGGGATGATGACAAAACTTGGAAACCATAGACAGAGGTTAAAACTGAGTTTACTGCCCAACATCATGTCTCCAAAAGAACACGATGTTGTAGAGTCATCCAGGTAGACTGGTCCAACCTGAGAACTTTGGGCTTTCTCAGATAAGGACAGGCCTTCTGCTTGAAGGTCCAGAAGCTCACAGCCATACCCAACAATCTCCATGACTTGAAAAAAAAAAAAAAAGCCCAGCTATGCAACTGAACCTCATAAAACTGGCAAGCCACTGAATTGTTCCAGATCTATACCTCCTGGATGAATACCTCAAATTTCATAGTACTATCAGTCTATTAGGACCACAGCAAATCTGATGGAAAGTTGCATAGAAGCCCACCAAGCTCGATGAGCCTAAACCATACCACAGGAGGCTCAGCCAGCACCAACCAGCCCAGGAGAGCCTCAGACAGTGACTTTAGTCACACCATTGTGAGATACAACAATGATCACAAATTGGCTCTTAATGATTTAAGTTTTGATAATTCCATTTGCCTTTACATTTCATCGAACAATATAAATCAAATTTGATTGTGCTGGCAAGGGGGCAGGCTGAGTGGTGGGTGGGGAATTGTGGACACTGGTAGAGGGAAGAACACACTGGTGGTGGGATTGGTGTTGGAACAACTTGGTATCACAATGTTATAAAAAATTTTTTTTAAGTCTGAATTTCCTTTTTTCTGCAAAGAGCCGACCTTTTTTTTTTTTTTTTCCTGGCCGACTTCGACCATGAGTATGGAAAGGTCGGACTACAGCTGAATCTCACGAAGACAATGTTTATGAGAAACAGTCTCTTTCCTGACGTTCCATTCGCTCTCAACGGAACGACCATCTCCAAATGCAACAGTTATGTGTACCTAGGTTGAGAACACAACGTGATTAATGACCTGGCACCTGAGTTGAGCAGGAGGAAGAAAGTGGCTTGGAACACCTTCAAGAGCGTCAAAGAAATAGCTAAGAGGACCAAGAACCTCCGGCTCCGGGCACATCTCTTTGATTCCACTGTTCTTCCTGCATTAACATATGCCTCAGAGACCTGGCTCTATGAAAACAGGATGAGAATGCTATTCGGGTCTCCCAAAGAGGAATCGAAAGAGCTATGCTTGGAGTATCATATTTCACTCAAATGAGAGAAAGAATCCGGAGTTCCGACCTCTGTCAACACTCAAGAATCAGGGACACTGTCTTGTTTGCCAAGGCATCGAAAATCAGATGGGCTGGACACGTAATGAGATTTGGAGACAACCGCTGGACGAGAGCCGTTACCGACTGGATTCCACGGGACATCAAAAGACCGCATGGCCACCCACCTACAAGATGGTCAGACTTCTTCATCCAGACCCTAAGCAATCGGTTTGAAGCTCTTTCTGTTCCTAGAATGAACAGACGCCATTGGGCTACACTAGCACGTGACAGGGATGAATGGAGACATTACTGGCACCCACTCGAGCAAATCGATGATTAACGGGAAGTCAAGTGATCAAGTGAATTTCCTTTTTTCTGCAAAGAGCAATTCCTTGCTCTAGTCTGAGTTCTCAGCTTACCAAAATCTTGGGTGTGGGGACGCAGTTCCCACCCTTAGGGAGATCAAGTGGACATCAGGTTCAGCTTAATGGCTGCCCTGTGGGGCTGGGAGGACATGAGGGGCCATGTTGGGGCGGGACTGGTGGCAGGCAGACTTTACCAATCCTAACCTGCCCAGACTGTACCAACCCTAGCCTCACCGAGAGCACCTCACAGAGCTGAATAACATGATGTTTACTAGTTAATTACTGGTAATAAAAGGATGTAACTTGGTACTAGCCTGTTGAAGAGATGCACAGGCCAAGTGTAGGGAAAGGTGTGGAGCTTCCCGGGTCTCTCTGAGCATTTCTAGGTTCAGCAACTAGGACTTTGGGACTCTTAGTTTTACCATTGGAGCTCACAGTTCTGTATACTATAAAGAAACCTGCAGGCACAGTGCAGGGCATGGAGTCTGACTCTCACTTTTAGTATCAATCTCTATGAGAATTTAATGAAAGTTTCCATGATCTTTCTCTTAGAAAAATAGGTACATAAACAAATATTGGGGGGGGGGGGCTGGGGAGATGGTACAGCAGATAGAGCACTTGCCTGGCATGTGGCCCACCTGGGTTTGATGTTCGGCACCTATTATGGTTCCCTGAGCTCAGCCAGGAAACACTCCTAAGCACAGAGCCAGAAGTAATTCACTCTGCACACCACTGGGTGTGGCACAAAAACAAACAAACAAAAAACCAAGTATTGATACACTTTTTTGGGGGGGGAGGACATACCCAGCAGGGCTCAGGGTTTGCCGCTGGCTCTCTGTGCTCAGGGATCCCTTGTGGCACGATCGGGGAATCATATGGGGTTTTAACCCAGGTTGGCAGCATGTAAGGCAAGTGTCCTACTTGGTGTAATATCTCTCCAGCCCTTTTTTTCCCCTCTGTCATTCCTGGATCCTCTAAAAATTGATCATGGGTTTAGGGATAAATACTCTTACCTGAAGGTCACTGACTACATACATTTGAGGATAATGTAAGCTTAGTGTTGACATTTGGAATGCTGACATTAATTTGGAATCCATGTATCATGGTAGGACACCAAAAGCAAAGTCATCAAAAAATAAAAGATCTAAACTAAAGATTGCCCTTTATCAGAAACTGATTAAAAAAAATCCCCTATCATGCTAGTGTGCATATCCATATCATAGCAATTAGCCTGGTATCCTTAATACAAAAACTGGTAACAATACTATTAACAAATTATTGAGCATATGATATGCCAAAAACAGTAACAACAAGCCTCACAATTTTTTTGTGAGACATTACTGGTTCCCACTCGAGCAAATCGCTGAACAATGGGAGGACAGAACTACAGTGCTATTGAGCATTTGTTATGTGCTAAGGACTTCTAAATGTCCTACATGAATTCATTTAATCTCATCTAATCTCTACAACCACACTAAAAGTGTATTTGTTTAAAATGAGGAAACGGGTGGAGAGACAAAACAAGGGTTAGGGCACTTGCCATGCATTCCACCAACCCTAATCTGAATCCCTGGCAGACCATATGGTCTGAAAGCCAGGAGCACTGCCAGGTGCCATCCCTGATCACAGAGCCAGGAATAGCCCCTGAGCTCTGTCAGGTGTGGTCCCCAAACACAATAAAACAAACCAAAATGAGGTAGCAGATGCTTTCTAACTGTCAATACTGGAGACAGTTACTGCTGGCTCTCTGTGCTCAAGGATCCCTTTTGGCAGGCCCAGGGAACCATCTGGGGTATTGGGAATTTAGCCCAGATTGGCTGCATGCAAGGCAAGTGCCCTTCCTGCTATAATAATTCTCCAGTCCTTGACACTTTTTTTTTTTATCATTCCAGGATCATCTAAAACTTGATCATGGGTATAGGGATAAATAGTCTTGCCTCTTGCATGACAGACTAGCACCATTTCCCTGAACATGGTCTGACCTAGTTGTGTACTTAGCAAAATCTATGTGGATAATAAATTGGAAATAAAATAGAACCCAATGATGTCCACTATAAGAATACTATGTTGACCAATAAATTACCTGGGAAGGGTTTTGATCATTTTAGCAGGACCACATCTCAACCCCAAAATGTTTGTACTTCTTCCAAATATAAAGAATCACCAATCAGCTACACTTTACAGAGATAATATCAACTCTGACATTCTTAGACTGTGACTCTCCCACTTATAACTCACTTTTTTGGATTCACTTCAAAAAGCTTAAGTCTTCTTAATAAAAGATATGAGTTGGGACAACTTCTGGGAAGACATACAGAAATCATCACCCTTTCATCTAGGTCTGCTCCCTGCCAGGGATCTGAAATGACTTCACCCCACACACCGAATCCCCTCAACCTCGTGGGAACTCGGCCCCCAGGCAGTGAAGTTAGGGTGTGGTGAACTCACGTTCAAAACCCCTTTTTTTCTAACCTGCACAAGCATAGTCCTGGCTCGAGCCTGCCTCAGATTTTTCAGACACTCTTAATTAAAGCTGCAATTTGCACTCCACCCTAGTATTTCTCAGAGCATTTAAGAAACACTGGATGTCACTGAGGCTGGAGGAAGGTAGGAATAGTCCAGATATTATCCTAAAATTTTAATTTCTCATGCAGCCAAGAACCTTAAATAAGCAGGATGCTAGCTGAGAAACTATTCTATTAGCTATTCTCTACTACTAATTAAATCTGTAGCAGAATGCCTAATAAAAATTTAATCTAAAGGGGGCTGGAGCAATTTTTTTTTTTTTTGCAGTGGGTAGGGCATTTTTCTTGCATGCAGGCATCCCAGGTTTGATCGTTTGATACCTGGCATCCTGTATGGTTTCCCCTTCTCCCCATCCGCCACACCACTAGGAGTAATTCCTGAGTGCAAAGCCAGGAGTAAATCCTGAGCATTGCTGGGTGTGACCCCAAAAGCCAAAAAACATCCCCCAAATTCATCTAAAAACAAAGGTTTGTGGGGCAGGAACAATAATGATAGTACATGTGATAGTACAGTGGGTGGGGCACTTGCCTTACACATGGTTGACCTGGCTTTGATTTCCAGCACCCCATATGTTCAGGCAAGAATGTTCCAGCACAGAGCTGGAAGTAAACCCACAAACACAGTCGGTGTGGTCTAAAACAAATAAATACACAAAATTAAATAATTGTTTTTTTTAAAAAAAAAATGGTTCTACCCAAAGTCAGTTTTGCTTACAGTGAGGTCTTTGCTGTAGTCTTTGGGTGCTGGAAGAGCCTGAATTTTTTGTTTCCTGTAAAGCTTCATCAGAACCTCCCACTGCATCTTCAAGGTCATGCTCAGAATCTTCTGATTTTGATTTTCCTGCTTCATTTATACTGGATTTGTCAAGGTTCTCAGACATTCTCAGTCAAGTTTATTCACTTTCCTAGGAAAGAAAAAAATAAATAAATAAATAAATAAACAAACCAAAAAATGTACCAGTTCTGTCACAACCTAGCAACGTGACTCTTGGTAATCATTTCATCTCCTTGGGTTCCTATTTTCTCATCCGTAAAATAAGTGGACTTGCTAAGATCTTATCTAGCTGTAATATTCTACTTCAATGACTAAACAGATAGTTGGAAAATGATACTTGTAATTTACCAAATTTCAAGATCTGTGCCTCAGATAGAGTAACAAATCTGAATACTCTGTCTCTCTCACCTGAGTTCCATGTCATAAGAACATGGGATCACTGGACTGGAGCGTTAGTACAGAGAAAAGGGTTCTTGTCCAGCACCCCACATTATCCCCTGAATGCTGCTAGAGGTGATCCTAAACACAGAGCCACAAGTAAGCTAAGTACAGCCAGACGTGACCCCAAGTAAAGAAGAAACGAAAGACACATGACTATTAAACAAGTGTTAGATGATAACACAAACACTTTAAACTATCTACTTCTATTTAATCCTTGTTTGGGCGGGGGGAGGGGGCAGGTGTCAGGGTTCAAATCCAGAGCCTCACACATTTAAGTTATGTGCTCTAGCTCTGATCCACATTTCCGGACCTCCAATTCAATCCTCAAATTCTTTATTTTTATTCCTGAGACTTCAGAAAATAATATTTTAAAATCAGGGTTCTACGAGAAACACTCTTCAACTGGGTTGAGGAGCTGGTTTCCTGATCTCATTCCTCGTAAAGAGAGAATAAAGGTAGAATCTTATAAAACAATGAAAAACATATGGATCAAATAGTCTTATTAATCCCTTGCCAGGAGAAGGTGTTGAGTAAAGAAGAAGTTGCAAACAACCATAACGTATGTAGTTGGGTACACTTTTAATTTGGTGTTGGGGGTTGGGTCTTGGGCCACACTCAGAGGTGCTAAGACCCCTGGCAGTGTCTTGGAACTATATGAAGTGCTGAAATTTTGAAGTAGGGTTCAAAAGTCCAGAGTTAACAATCCAAGCACTTAAGTCTCTCTAATCCAGAAGTTTTAAGTTTTTTAGCTTTAATTTAAAAACAGGAATTACAATATTTTTTATTTCTTTAGACCGATTTAAAAAAAAAAAAACAAACTTGGAGGGAGCCAGAGAGATAGTACAGCATGTAGGGCATTTGCCTTGTACATGGCCCACCTGGATTCATTCCCCAGCATCCTGTAAGGTTCCCTGAGCAACACTAAGAGTAATTTCTGAGTGCAGAGCTAGGATTAATCCCTGAGCATCATTGGGTGTGACCCAAAAAAGCAAAACAAAAAAATTGAAGTCTGGGGATATGACTCAATTGGTAGAGCACACGTTTTGCATGTTCAAGGCCCTGAGGTCAACCCCCAAGCACCCCATGGCTCCCTGGGCACCACAAAGTGGTCCTGGTAGTCCTGAAACATCACCATCAGTGACCTCCACAACAGAACCCAACAAAAAGCAAGTCCAGAACAGTTGCCTCTTATTTACTGCAAAAGCATCTGTCAGTTTCCTTCCAAGGTTTTTTGTATGTGATGCCAGTAACTGAACCCAGGTCCTCACACAGGTGAAGCAGGGGCTCTACTACTGAGCTGCATCCCTGGTCCTAGGGTACCCCCCCCCACCCCGTATGTTTATTAAGAGTTCACTCAGTATTCTTCGTAAGATGCCTCTAACTCAGGGAGATGACACAAAGTTTTTGCATAAACAACACCGAAAGTAATTAGCATCTGTACTATTAGCACCTGCAGATCACAAAACATTTTCATAAACATTAATTAGACTTTATTACACACCTGGAAGGTAATCAAGGGATCAAAAGAAATGTTTCCTTTCGGAAGATTTGGCCTGCACATGACTGCAGATGCAGAGGATCAAACTGCTTGATATAATTATCAAAAATTTCAGAAACTTCCAATAAATAAGGTGAAGTTACTGGAATTGGTATTTTCAGGACTGTATTGTTTAATATGAGGGTTGCTTTAATAAACTTTCCCTTCCTACTTTACCTTCCCCTTTGTGTATGTGTGGGGTGGTGTCACATGCAGTGATGCTCAGGGATTATTCCTGGCTGTTCACTCAAGAATTACTCTTGGCAGTGCTCAGGAGACCACATGGGATGCTAGAGATCAAACTTAGTTCGGCCATATGCAAGGCAAAGGCCCTACCCACTGTACTATCACTCTGACCCCCCCCCCCCCCCACACACACACACACAAACCACCTTTCTTTTATTTTTGTTTTTGAGGCTGCTCCTAGTGGAGCTCAGGGGTTACACCTGGTGGTTTGGCACTTGGGGGAACTGAGCCATGCCAGGGATCAAACCCAGGCCTTCTGCATGCACTCAACTCACTGAGACATCCCCCCGCCTCACTTTACCTCTTAACGTACCGCTCCAGGCACCCCTCTTCACTTTCCTTCATCCTATTTACACTCTGGAAATGATCCAAGATCCAAGAGATAACACTGCCAAGATACTCTTTGATAAAGGACAAATAAAAACACTTCTAATTTTATCCTGCTCACATGCTGAGAATGAGCTCAGAAAGGATGAAGTAATGCATTCTGTCCATTGAGGAGAAAGGGGCAGGGTTTTCGGATCTGCGCTAAGTACACTAACCTCATCCTTGGAAAAAAAAAATGGCTCGAGTCCGTCCTCCTCCCCAGGACATTTCCCCAACCTTCTCAATGTTTGCATCTTTTTCTGAACGCCTGTGTGGCCTGGTGTCTAGACATCTGGCATTCATCACTGCCTAATGCAATTCAAAATAAGCGTATTTAAATAGGAACAGAAGGATAGAAGACATAGAAAGATGGTCTGGAGAAAGCAGATATGATTATAAAGAACCATAGTGAACCTTAAGCTTAAATGGCTGTATGAATCACTAAGGGAATATATCAGAGGGAGAAACCAATTCTGCCTATCTATCCCCATAAAGGTGATATCTGAGCTGGTCTGGGGGCGGGGGGAGGGAGTGGGGAAGGAAGAAAAGAAGATTTCACCATAAAATAAAAAGTCTGGAAAGGCAAAGGAAGTAGAAATGGGGGCGTTTCACTCAGGACATAGCTGGCTAGTGAATAGAAATAAAGATGAAGTGATAAGTGATGAAGCCTGAAAGCAGGTCAGAAGGAGACAATTGCTTTACAATGTAGAACCTGAGCCTAGATTTTAATATGGGGGGGGGGCAGTGTCACCATTGAGCTACATCTCCAGTTCTACATTGTAACTTCCTTTGGGGCGGGGGGGGGGGGGGGGGGGGTAAGGGGTTGGTCACACCTGTCAGAGCACCAGGCTTGGTGCTTGGAGGGTGCCGAAGCGAGGGGTATAAATGCAGTGCTGGGGCCGAGTCCCAGGTTCCTTCATGACACTCCGGCCCGGCCCTTCAGGGCCATCTTCCCCGCCCCTAGTCTTGAACTTTTTGGGGGGCCGGGGATGGGGTGTGGAACTGTCCCACATCCAACCGTGCTCGCGGTTTTCTCCTGGCTCTGTGCTCAGGGATCACTGTGCAGGGCTCGGATGGAACCCAGGTGTGCTGCAACCTCTGGACCTCCAGCCCCTAGACTTAAATTTCAGAAGGGCCAGCGCCGTGCAAGGATGCCAGCAGCCTCTGGGAGGGGGTGGGGTGTGCACATCCCCGCCCCAAGCAGGTGGATATAGCTGTGTCACGTCTGGCTGCCCGGGACCGTGGGGCGTTAGTCTCAGACATCCGGGAGAGGCAAGTCTGTTTCTTTCCGAGCCTTGGAACTTGCGTTTTCCCGGGGCCCAGCCCACCTCTTCCGCTCGGCTGGGATGAGTCGAGAGTTCGCCGGGCCGACTAGCCACCACCCTGGTCGCTTGCGGGCGCGGCGCCACGCGGCAGCGCGAACCCTGCCACGAGTCCCCGAGCGCCCATTCATTCCATCCCGCCGCCACTGACGCGGGCTCGGCGGGGGAAGCAGCGATGCAGGGGAGCGTCCCGGGACAGAGCGTCCACCCGAGCCGCTGACCAGCTGAACCGCCCTCCCCCCCGCTCCCCACCATCCCCCCCCCCCCCCCCGCCCCAAGCCCCAGCCAAGGTCTTGCAGGGAAAGAATGAGGATCTGTCCACGGACTCTGGGTAGGGGAGGCGGTCACTCGGTGCCACTCGCTGCCAGCATCCACATCCCGCAGTAAACAAGTGCTCAGTCGGCGAGGGAGTGGCCCAGCGGCAGCCCGGGAGGGCAGCGGAGAGGGGCGTGGGACCCAGGCCTCCCGATCCTTCTTCCCGCCCGCCGTCCCGGCCTCTGCCTCGCTTCCACCCGACATCCCTGGCTCGACCCGAAGGAAAGCACCAGGTTCCGACCCGACCCGGCCGCAGTCTCTCACCTGCAGCTGACCTGGCGTTCTCCCTCCTATCGGTCCAGTCTAGGAGCAGCGGGCCGGCGCGGAGGCGCTGGTGGTGCTGGTGGTAGCGGGGATAGCGGTGCGCGCCAGCAGGTGCGGCTCAGCCTCGGTCCCGCCGGGGCTGCATCCCTCGCTGCGGACTGTCCTCCCTGACCCGCTCGGCCGAGAGCAGCCAGCGATCCCGCACCTCGGCGTCGGCCAGCGGGGGGAGGCAACTCCTAGCGGCTAGACGCCCGCCCCATACAGGGCGGCGCCATGTTTCCGTACGGAAAAGCGGGAGGGGCGTTCGGCGACTAGCGGGAGGAGAGGGCCGGCGGAATCTGTTCCTCGGACCCGGGAGTGCAACGTTTCTGAACGCGGCGGCGAGAAGGCTAGGCTTCGCACTAGCATGGGGGTCCACTCAAAAGAGCGGAGGTTCGGAGCTTGCAAGGTGGTCGCCCCCATACTGGGAGGCGCCATGTTTTTGTACGGAAATAAAACCGCGTGGGGGCGGGGCCGGAGCGCGCCTGGGGGAACAACCCAGGTTAGAGTAGAGTGTAGCTTGTCCACCAACACTGTCCAGGAAAATAACGGACAGACTTTTAAGCCTATGAATTTTGTTTGTTCCGGGGCTGGAGCAATAGCACAGCGGGTAGGGCGTTTGCCTTGCACGCGGCCAACCCGGGTTCGTATTCCCAGCATCCCATATGGTCCCCTAAGCACCGCCAGGAGTAACTCCTGCGTGCCAGGAGTAACCCCTGTGCATCGCCAGGTGTGACCCAAAAAGAAAAAAAAATATTTTCACTGGAGGCCAGAGAGATAATACAGGGTTGCATGCTGCTCACCCAGGTTCGAGCCTAACACTAAATATTGTAAACAAGAATCATCAGAAATGATTCCTAAGCATCAATGGGTATCACACACACACACACACACACACACACACACACACACACACATTTTCCCCTAATAATACAGACTTAGTACTTTTGTAATAAATACAGCATATTAAATCATTCTCATCTGCATAAAACTTATATCAATTACATCCCCATTAGATATATACAGTAAACAAAATATCCCTTTGTTTTGGGGCCACACCTGATAGTGCTCAGAACTTATTCCTGGTCCTGTATGCAGGGATCACTCTTGCTGACACTTGGGGGACCATTTGGGGTCCCGGGGATTGAACCTGGTTTGATCTCATGCAAGGCAAGCATATTACCACTGTATTATCTCGCAGGCTCCTAAAATATCCTGAAACCTGAAGATGGTTAAGTTAAAAATAGGTTTTAAGGGGCTAGCTAGAATAGAAGGTAGGCTCTGGGTATACTAGTCCACCCTGGTTTGAATCCATGGCACCACATACAATCCCCTGATGCTTCGAGGAGTGACAGGAGTGATCCCTCAGCAGCAGGAATAAGCTCCAAGCCCAGCTGGGTGTGGCAAAACGACAAAAATAATAGAACTGGATAAAATGCTAATTTTTTAATGGGATATATAATAAAATCTCCAAAGCCCTTTTTAAAAAATTATTTTTGCCTTTTGGGTCACACCCAGCGGTGCACAGGGGTTATTGCTGGCTTTGCACTGAGGAATTACTCCTGGCACTGCTCGGGGAACTCGATGGGATGCTGGGAATCGAACCCAGGCCTGCCGTGTGTAAAGCAAATGCCCTACACACTGTACTATCGCTCCTAGCCCTCCAAAGCCCTTTTCTAGCATGTGTTCTGTTAAACTGTGTTCTGTATTCAGATGTCTTGTCACTGGAAATGCTTCCTGTAATGTTGGCAGGAGTTGGAGACCTGTCTTGCTTACTATATGTTATTTTTATGTAGTTGGGGACAGAGGAGATACTTCAAGGAGTAGAACACAGTAAGGCGCTTCACACAGATGATCAAACTTTGTTTGAACTTTTCACATCGCCAATGTGGATTCAATCCCTGGCATCCCATATGGTCCCCCAAGCATCACCAAGAGTGATCCCTGAGCCAGGAGTAACCCCTGAGCTCCATCAAGTATGGCCCCAAAAACAAGAACAAAGATTTTTTAAATTTTCTTTTTATTTACTATTTTAAGTAGCTCAGTTTCTGTATGTTTACTCCCTCTAAAAATGTGATAGATCAGCCCTGAAGGTTTTGTTTTTTTTTTTTTTTTTTTTTTTTTTTGCTTTTTGGGCCATACCCGGCAATGCACAGGGGTTACTCCTGGCTCATGATGCACTCAGGAATTACTCCCGGCTGTGCTTGGGGGACCATATGGGATGCTGGGAATCAAACCCGGGTTGGCCACATGCAAGGCAAATGCCCTACCCGCTGTGCTATGGCTCCAGCCCCCCTTAAGTATTTTTAAGATGATAATTAGTGAACATATTCCTTATAACATAAAAAAGCTGAAATTCTTCAGCTTTCACCATCAATTTATAATACAAAGCAGAGCACATTATATCTGATATTATGAAACTTTGGATTTGTGTCTTTTAAAAAACATATCTTCATATGTATGCTAAAATTTTATAGATGAAGGGGTAAGATATCTAAAATACATTGAAGTTGGAGAAAGAAATAAGTGGGGAGACTGGGTAAAACAAGGTCAGGTACACGTTGACAACTGCTGAAACTGGATGATGAGTTCATAGGTGTAATTTTATTCTACACTTTTTGATTTTTGGGCCACCCAGTGGTGCTCAGAGAGTCACTTCTGGTGGTGTTTTGGGGACTACATGGCACAAAGATTAAGTGCAGGCCTCATGCACACAAAGACTGTGCTCAGGGGCTAGAGAGACAGTACAGCAGGTAAGGCACCAGCCTTGCATGCAGCCAACCTGGGTTTGATCCCCAGAAACCCATATGGTCCCTTAAACATGGCCAAGAGTGATCCCTGTGCATAGCTTGTAAAGAAAGTCTGTGCTCAGCCCTTTGGGCTATCTCTCTGGCCTCCTATCCTCTCCAATTTTTATTTGTTTGAAGTTTTTCCATAATAATCTTTGAACAATCTTAAAGTTTTCTAAACCCATTATGGTAAGTTCAATTTCTGACTTGTCTACAGTTTATGTAATTAGCAGCTTCACTTTATCAAAGCCTAAAGTTCTATCTTGTAGTTAAGGAGAACCTTTCAAAGGTACAAACCACACTCCTATTAACATTTAATTACAGACTTCCCTATGTTTAATACTTTCTTATGTAAACACTGCTATGCCATATCATTTAAATTCCTATGCTGTTCTATCAAGTACTGTGCACAACTGTGAATCAACTCACCTAAAAGAGGTCAATACTTAGCAGCAATACACCAACTAATACTCAATTTCAGGCACACACGGTTATAAAAAAAATGTTTTATTGCAAAGTTTCACATTTAGAAGAACTTCCAAACTTACAAATATGATTGGATCTTTAGAACACATAATTTTTAAAATATACAAATCATATACAGACATTAGTAATCAGTCTCCAAAGTATTCAATAAAGATATCTGGGTGACACTTATAGAACTGCCTCAGCATTTTTTTCTTCTCTTTGGCAGACAGTTTTGAATTCTCATCAATAGTTTTTAGTAAATTCAACAGTTCATCTTTGGTTGTCTTCTGTGTATGGTCAGAATAGTCACCTTGATCAATTCTCTGGCAATAAATATATCCTTAAAGTTTTCAAAGTAAAAAGTTAAAAATCATCATTTTTACACTTTTTATTTTTCTTCCCCATTTTGTAAAACTCACTGACAATACTAAGCTCTGCTAACTCACTGGTTAAACCCTGGTCAAGTTGCATTTGACATGGAAACTCTCTACCAAGTCTGGGTAAATGAGAACGCTACTTTAATTTCAGCTGTATGCTTAACAACTATGGCAACTCTTTTCAAATAAACACTAGGCATTTATCTTTGGGAGATTGTGGTAACATCATGTCTGAGATTACCTGTGTCTCTATTTGGCTCTTTTCCCCTCTGAATGGCCATCAGCTTAACACTGACAATTTTATGTAGAGTCCCAGGAATCTTAAGGAAAAAAAAAAGATGGTGGGAAATTATTCAAACACATTTCAACCTAGTGACCTATGACATAAGAACAACTTAACAACTGCCAAGAGTTTTACCTTAAAGACATCTTTTTGATGATCCATTAAAAAGAGTACCAGCAGATCAGTTTTGCCTTTGGATAAATTTTTATTGTCCACAATCGCTTTTGAGAATATTCTTTTCACAACCATTCGGTTGTCACTCTACAAAAATATAACAAAATGGATCTCAGACTAGAAAAATACTCATAAAATTATAGATGTAATATCAAGTATTCATAGCCATTGCCCATTTCAGCACAGTTGATGCTAAAGATTGAATCATCTGGCTCCAAGAAGTACTAAGGGTCCAGAGCCAGGGAGAGAGCTCAAAGGGTTGGAGCACATGCTTTCATGTGATGAACCCCCAGGCTCCATCCCTGGCACCACAGGACCACTGAGAACCACCAGGATCAAGTCACTAGCAGTGAGCCACAAAACAGGCTCTAAGCACTACCAGGTGTGGCCCCCCCCAACCAGATACTAAATACATAACAACAAAAAACTTACTTCTTTCTGCAGTTTAAATTCTGAAGGATGCGCTGCAACAGCCATGAAATATAGTAGTCTTCTAAATTCTTCTCTATTTTGGGAATCCAAAAGCTTCAGAAAGAGCTGAGTAGCTTCTAATGCTATTTCAGTCTTCCCATTCACTTCAGCCAAAAGGGGGGAAAATGCTTTTAATTTTAAATAAACATGACTTTAAACAGAAAAAAATTCAAATTATTCTAAATAGTAAACTTATTCAAAACTGTCCCCCAAAGCAAAACAAAACAACACTAGGAATTACATGAATGACCATACAAAAAAAGCAGCCTATTATAAAACTGGCAAATACTATCTAAGTTCCTTGTCACATACTAATCCTAGGATGTTAAATCTAACTCTTGGCTTTGTAAATTCTCAGCCTGTGTTCTTCACTAATACCTTTCAGGGATATATCATGTGATACATCTCAACTTGAGAAAAATAGGATTTTCTGGAACCCCAATTTATTTTCAACAAATCAAGTTGAACACTCTGGCTCACAGGAAGTTGGTCAAAGCAGAATGTCTATTCTTCTTTATAAAGGCCACTGGAAGGATGAATGAGGCGGTAATGGTAATGCTGTCTAAGGAGTATAATTAATGCTCTGCTTATTAAAATTCCAGTAAATGAGAGCATCATTCCCCTGTGGCAGTCAGATTCCTGCAAAGCTTTACATCAAGCCTCTTTCCAAATAAACCCTAGAATCTTTGGAATAAACCTCCTTTATATGGATTTATCCAGATCAGCTTGAAGCAGTATCGCGCTGGTAAATTTTTAGAACAATTAACTTTTCCCTACTGCCTCCGAAGGATAAATTCTAGAACCCAGGAAAATCTTATTTACCTAAGAGTTCTGCAATTCCATTATGCACATCAGATAAGTGATTTAACAGAGGTTCCCTGCTGCTGTAATATTTGCCAATGGCATCAAACAGAAGTTCTTTCACTAGGTCTATTCTATCTGGTTGCTCAGGAAAATTTCTGCTTATGTCCACCACCACCTGGTCTGGAAGGTATTCCAAGCAGTCAATTGCTGCAGAGAGCCACTCATCTTCCCTATGGGGGAAAAAAGTTGTTTTAAAAAGTAAAGAAAAACAAATTACACACAGTGCCGAACTTACTAGCTATCTAGCTCTTTCAGGTTTGTTAGCAGAGAAAATTTCTACGCACTTAGAAAAGATAAGTTAAAGATAAGTACAATTATTTGTTTTTTCAGGCCACACCTGGCAGTGTTCAAGATTTATTCCTGGCTACATGCTCAGGGATCAATCCTGGTGGTACTTGAGGGACCACGTGAGATGCCAGGGATTGAACCTGAATCTGCTGTGTACAAGCAAGTGCTTTATCTGCTGTATTCTACCACCAGCCCCAACAAGTATAATTATTGTTATATATCGAGGTTGTGAATCCCAAGGAAACAACTTGAACTGTCATATTTTCCCCTTAACAAATAAGTTATCAACAGTATGAACTTACATCAAAATTCAAACTTTACTTTTAAAAAAATCTCTATGGGGCTAGAGATATAGTACAGTGGGTAAGGTCGTTGCCTTGTATATGGCTGACCAGGTTCAATCTCTGGCACCACCGATGATCCCCCAAACTCTACCAGGAATGATCCCTGAGTGCAGAGCCAGGAGTGAGCCCTGAGCACTGCTGGGTGAGACTCAAAAACAAAAAATAAAAAACTCAAAATTAACAAGCCCAGAAACTCTAAATTTTCTTGCTCAGAGTTCTAAGGCAAGATAAAACAAGATCTCAGAACTGAAGTTTAAACCAGCATTTCCCCTCTCCCACCCTCTTTAAAATATATATAACATTTCACAAATTTGTATATTATCCTAGGACAGGACCATGCTAATCTTCTCTGTCAGTCGGATTTCTGTATAAGTGCTGCTGAAGTGTCTTCACCATTATTTTTCTACTATAATGTAGCTTACTTCAGAGTTCTGTGTATGATCTATCCTTCCTTGCCCTGGCTAGAGGAGAAGAAGGTAAAGTTTCAAAACAATTAAATATTAACTACCACTTCCAGTAAAATGCCAGCTGAGCAATTTCAAAAACATGCTACACTTCAAGAAATAAAACAACATTCATTTGGCTGATATATATATATACACAGAATTTGTTTTTCTTATTTTCTTTTGTTTTAAAAACCGTCTTTCGGTGCTGGAGTGACAGTATAGTGGATAGGGCATTTGCCTTGCATGCAGCCAGTCCATGTCTATCTTTGACATCCCATATGGTTCCCGAACACCACCTGGAGTGATTCCTGAGTGCAGAGCTAGGAGTAAGTCCTGAGCATCGTCTGGTGTGGCCCAATCCCTGTCCCCAACTACACACACACACACACACACACACACACACACAAATTAACCTATCTCTCTTCTGCAATGAACTCAGAACAACTTTTTTTTTGACGTGGGGGGCGGAGATCAGGAGGTTGGGGTGGGTGGGGGCATATTCTTAGGTGCTCAGGAGCTATTCTTGGCACTGTGCTCAGGAGTGGTAATTGGGAGAGTGCTGGGGAGTCAACCAGGGTCAGCCTCATGAAAGGTCAGTTATCTATTTCAAATTTAATAATTATAAAGGGTTTTCACATAGTACTTCAGATTGTATACATGCAACTTAAATTAGCAGAATACTGTTCCTGTTTACAGAAGCAGCATTCAACAACTAATGTGTTAAAGTTAACTTTCACATAAGAGTTCTTTTTGTTTGGGAGCCATATCCAGCTGTGCACAGGGTTTATAACTGGCTCTGTACTCAGAGATTACTCCTGGCAGTGCTTAGGGGACAATTGTGGTGCCAGGGAATGAACCTGGGTCACCTGCATGCAAAAAAGTGCCTTGTATGCTATACTATTGCTCCGGCCCTCACATAAGGTTTTAAGCTGCCTTTCAGAGCCAAGATATACCTTAGTGGTTGAGAACTTTGCTCAATGCTTGTGTTTGAATCCTGGCTTTGAAAAAGAAAAGAAAAAAAAAAGAGTCCTACCATTCTTTTTATTTTAATGTTGGAGTATTGCTATTTATTCAGCCATTGATTAGGCTCACTGAATTGGGCATGAACTCCATTAGTCTTTTTTTTTTTTTTTGCTTTTTTTGGGGTCCCACCTGGCAATGCTCAGAGGTTACTCCCGGCTCATGCACTCAGGAATTACTCCTGGCAGTGCTTGGGGGACCATATAGAATGCTGGGAATCGAACCCGGGTTGGTCGCGTGCAAGGCAAACGCCCTACCCGCTGTGCTATCTCTCCAGCCCCAATATACTGTATTTCTTTAAGAAAAGATTTGTGAACTAAAAAGTATATATTCAATAAGTGTTATAGGAGTGTAAGAGTACATGCAGTCAAAGAAGTTTAAGAATCTGCCAAATCTGGGAGCCAGAAATGCTGTCCTGTCCTCCCATTGTTCATCGATTTGCTCGAGCGTGCCCAGTAACATCTCCATTTTGAGAATTATTGTTACTGTGTTTGGCATATCGAATATGTCACAGGGAGCTTGCCAGGCTTTGCTGTGCGGCGAGATACTCTCAGTAGCTTGCCGGGCTCTCCAAGAGGGGAGGAGGAATCAAACCCGGGTCAGCCGAGTGTAAGGCAAACACCCTACCCGCTGTGCTATTGCACCAGCCACTCATTTATAGCTTAATATAGTTTTGGGTCACTGTTACTGTCACTGTCCTCCCATTGTTCATCAATTTGTTCGAGCGGGTCCAGTAACATTGTGAGAATTGTTACTGTGTTTGGCATATCGAATACGTCATGGGTAGCTTGCCAGGCTTTGCCATGTGGGCGAGATACTCTTGGTAGCTTGCTGGGCTCTCTGAGAGGGGTGGAGGAATCAAACATGGCTCGGCCAGTCCAGCTGCGCGCAAGGCGAACGCCCTACCACTGTGCTATCACTCCAGCCCAGAAAGATGGCTTGAAAGGCTGGAGAAAGTTGCTGGAGCCATAGTACAGTGGGTAGGGCATTTGCTTTGTACGCGGCCAACCTGGGTTTGATTCCCAGCATCCCATATGGGCCCCCAAGCCCATATAATTCCTGAGTGCAAAGCCAGGAGTAACCCCTGTGCATCGCCAGGTGTAACCCAAAAAGCTAAAATAAATAAATAAATGCTGGAGAAAGAGTACAGCAGATATGGTGCTTGCCTTGCATACGGCTGACCTGGATGTGTTCCCTAGCACCCCATATAGTCCTGATGCCCTGCTTGGTCTGGCTGAAAAAAAAATATATATGGGGGGACCCGAGGCAGGTACTTCGGCATGCCTGCCTGGAGCCCCAGGTTACATCCCCAGGTTAGATCCCAAACACAGGGCAGGGGCCATAGAGCTGAGAATGGCCCCCAAACAAAAACTAAACAAAAACAGAAGAATTTGGTCTGGAGAGATAGTAGAGGGGTAAGAAACCTGCCTTGTATGGCTGACCCCGAACTGACCCCTGGCACAGCATGGCCCCCCTGCGTACTGTCACAAGTGATCCCTGAACTTCCCTGAGTGTGGCATTCCCTGCTTTCTCCTCCAAAAAGAGAATTTGTCAAATCTGTCAATTTTGTCTTGGATTTCTTAGAAGAACAGACAATGAGACATATTTACCAGGATGGGACATTACCATTTTCTTCACCTTATAATCATTTTACTCAAAGAGTTCCTCACAAGTTCATGTACAAGCACTTGACATGGAAGTAAATTATGTAAAATGAGTGCGAAAAAAACATTTTCTATCATTTAAAAGATAATTTTGTTCTTCACCTTCCCAAACACCAATACCAATGAACACATTAACTGATCCTAGAAGAATTCAAAAGATTATCAAGCCATTATCTAGAATCTTCATACAAACACATCAAATTAGCACCACATATTTCTACATACTGAGAGTCACCGTAAGCCTTGAGAATCCCTCGATCCAAATAATTACTGTTGACCAAGTCAGGCTGCCTCTTAGGTAGAGGAATTTTGGGTACAAGCACTTGCTGTTTGAGTAAGGAGTCAAGAAGTGGAAGATCTATAAGTTGAAGTAAACGCCCAATTGTTTCTTCTTGCCATACTTCATTAATAACTAATAGGAAAATGACAAGGTGAAAAGTATCAGTTAATAGCTGGTAAATGGCTCATCACCACAATATCTGTCAAAGCAGGTCTAAGCTAACAAACTTATGGCAAGAAGAAAAGAAAAACTTGTAGAGTGAATTTTTATAACAATGTTAAACAATTCAAGATTTATTTTTTAAGATCTAGGAGAACAGACTTTGAACACAGGAATTCTTCTCATTCTTTGTACTATAAAAAGCAGAATGTTAGCGATAAGAGATCAAGTCATAAAACATGTTAATAAGGACTTTGGAAGAAAGAATGACTCATTGAAGCTGAAAACTGGCTTAAAACCATTGGCTGCAGATTATTCCACTCAAGGTTTCCACAACTGGAAAGGGGGACAGAAGGGAGAAATCAGTCATTAAGCTACATTCCACTGCCACAGACAAGGAAAAACACAAAAAAGCCTATGCTAATTTTTTAAATGTAATTTTCTATTTTTATTTAACCTAAATACAATATTAGGGAAAGAAATATGTGAAAGCACAATTCAAATAAAAATCTGCATGCCAAACATTTCAGACTTGAATCTCTGCCAGCTGATAGGACAAAAGTCAGTGTTCAAGAATTGCAACACTGATTTATTTGTTAAAGATAATAGACCTCTGTTAAAACTTAATTTAAACGGCTTTAATACAGTGTGCCCTTTGTGGTTGAATATTTAAATTCTAATAAAGGTTAAGACTGAAAAATGTTAAATAACTGTCATGAACTCAGGTTTCAAATGATCATATCATCTTTCACTTACCTTGTGGAGACAAGGTTGCGGAGATATTTATGCGAGGAGAGTTAGCTGGCTTTAAACTCAGATTTTCCCACAGGTCCTCTAAACTTGCCGATTTGATATCAGATGACTCACATAATGTATCTGCATACCTAAAGTGAGTTTATTTCATCGTCAATGTTTATAAACAAGCTCACGTAAGTATTTTAGCACTTCCGAACTTAGAGGGTTTCTGGAAAGTTTATTGGTAAAACCACAACAAATGCATTTATAAGAGTAGAAATATAGAAACATTTCATCATTCTTTTGAGGCTTAAAAGTACACACCTCAGAGCCTGAGTGACAGGACAGCAGTTATGATGTTTGCCTTGAAAAATGCGGCTGATCTGTGTTCGGGCCCTGGCACCCCATCTGGCCCCAGAGCCCAGGCGGGAGTAATCTCTTGACACTGGTGTGATGGGGTTGAGGTTGGGAAAATTATACACATGGAATTTGACCATGACTGGTTGTAAAGTTGGGTGCTATGAATAACTTTGTAAATTACTGTACCTCAATAAAAAAAATTTTTTTTTTAAAAAGTGCACACCTCAATAAGCTTTTCTTGGAATATTTATAGGTAATAAAATCAAGGTGTCAAAGAGACAGTACAGTGGTGGTTAAGGTGCTTGTCCTGTATGCAGCCAACCCCAGCACCACATGTGAGTGACCCCTGAGTACAGAGCCAGGAGTATCCCCTAAGCACTGGGGAATGTGCCCCCTAAATTAGAAAAAAACAAAAACAATCAATGACAAAAATTTTAGACTCTAATTTTAAAACAACATCCAAGTTTACATTATGCTATTTTTTATCAATTATCTCTATTATGGAGGCTTTACTTAAGGGCGGTACCTATCACTTTCCAAATATAGATTTACAATCCTTTTTTTGTTTTGGGGCCATGTCCAGAGGTGCTCAGAGGATTGAACCTAAGACTTCTGCCTTTGAAGCATGTGCTCCAGCCTGGTGAGAGTCTCTCTGCCCAGAGCTACAGTCCTTCAGTCCTTTCTCCACAACTCCGAAAGCCTAGCACTCTGAAAAATCAACTTTATCCA